CAGCACTTCTGACACCATATTTCAGCACACCCTTTCCAGTCCCTGCTTCAGGCTCAGAGACGCCTGGCCTTGCTGCAGCCTCTGATGTCCACTAGGGGGCAGCTTTGCCCACGTTTCCGGGCAGCCCCAGGCAGCATCCTTCCCACTACACCTGACAGGTCATCTCATTCCTCATCCCACCCTGTCATCCAAAACTCTACTTCCTTCCACTCATATGAACCCACTTAAAACACTGAAACTCCTTTCCCGTGCCTCTGACCCAGCGTTTTCACACTGGCTGCACACAATCACCTGGAGAGCTTTAAAAACATACAGATGCCAAGGCTCCACCCTAAACCAGTTAAATCAGAATCACTGGGCATGGGAGCCCAGCATGGGTATTTTAAAAAGCTGCCCCATGATTCTAATAAAGGTCACAGGCTGAGACACACTGGAACCCTTTCCCATCTGGGCACCTGTCTTCCAACTTCTGGAATATAATCCCCTAAAACTTCTTTCCCTACCCTTGGGCAGGGACCACTTTAAAAGAGACAGAATCGGGCCGGCCCGATGGCTTGGTGGTTAAGTTCGCATGCTCCGCTTCAGTGGCCCGGGGTTCTCGGGTTCGGATCCTGGGCACGGACAGATGCACCTCTTGTCAGGCCATGCTGTGGCGGCATCGCATATAAAGTGGAGGAAGATGGGCACGGATGTTAGCCCAGGGCCAGTCTTCCTCAGCAAAACAGAGGAGGATTGGCAACGGATGTTAGCTCCGGGCTAATCTTCCTCACAAAAAAATTAAAAAAAATAAAAGAGACAGAATCGAACAGAGCTAGTCAGAGAATCCAAACCTGATCCATACACACCAAGCTGCTAAAGGTGAGGGTGAGATGTGGGCTCTGTTCACTTTGCACACCCATCTCTCTGTATGCAGGCATTTTTAATAAGTATGACTTTTATCCGAAAAGAATGTAGTAAACAAATAAGTGAATATATGTATATACCTCAATCTTACAATTCTAGGAACAAGTGGCTCCAAAGAGGAAATAAAGTCAGTCTGGAAATCCATTTCCTCTTCCCCAGGGCTGACATCTGGCAGCGTCTTCCAGAATATTCCAGCATTTTTTGGAGACTGCCTGTCTGGGTCTGATATGGAGACACAGAATCTCTTTTTTCCCCAATGATGCACCACATCTCTTCACCCCAACTCAGAGAGATGTGGAGAGAGGAAGTGCTTACCCTCTGAGCACAAGGGCAGAGGAAATGGGCCACTGAGAGCGTGGCCCATCATGACTGCCGTTGGCATTGATTATTCCAGTTTATACAGACAGGCCTTCATGTTTCCCTCGTGTGCTCTCACTGACAGTCATTGAGAACTGGGTTTGAATCTCAGTCTACTACTCATTTCATCTCTCAGCCCCTCAGTTTCCTCATCCAGAAAATGGGGATAAGAAGAACATCTAACTCATCCTGTTGTTGTGAGGATTTAATGAAACAAGGCAAGGAAAGCACTTAATGTCTAGGACAATGGTAAGTACTCAATAATACCAGTAATAACAATACTTCTATTAAACTAACATTTCAGAAAAATATTATTACTATTTTACAAATGAGTGATTTGAGGCTCAGAGTTTGGCTTGCTGGCAGGGAAACAAGGATGAAAAGTAGGTGTGTCTGACTTTTCACGTCCACACTGGGGTCTCATTAGGCAGTAGACCTCAGACACATCCAGGGGTTACCTGGTTGGCCCAGCAAGGCTGTGTGTCCCCGCTGTCCACCTGTGCCGATGCCCATCCCACCAATGGCAGCCCAGGGGCCCGGGGAGAGGCCCCTCCCTGGGAGGGATCCCCTCTTCCTTTTACAGAGGGGGAGGCTGAGAGATGGGAAGTGACTTGGCCTCTGCCGTGCCTGGTGGGTGTCAGAGCCAGAACTAAGATCTGGGTCATTGACATCCAGTCCAATAACCTCTCCATTCCACTTTGAGATTTGTCTACCTTCAGACCTGAAGCCTCTGTTAATGACCCCTTTCCCCCACCCTCACACCTAACACACACACAAAGGCGTCTGACTGAAGCTAGGGGAGAGAGGGGGCCTGGCTCTGGGGAGCAGCTTTCCATCTTCAGATGCACTGTTCCCACCTACATCCACGTGTGGAGAGGAAATGATGAGGAAAGGTGGCAATGTAGTGAAGCGATGTGCTGGAGTCCAAAGGGACTCGGGTCTGAATTCTGGCCTCTGTGCCTCAGGCTCCTCATCTGTAACATGGGAATAGTAATAGCACCTCGCTCATTGGGTGTTCTGAGGATTCCTTGGGGACATACATGAACTATCTCTGGGAGGAACCAAAGGAAACGGGTTCCCACTGGAGGGGCTGCTGGTCTGTAGTGGGGAGACTCATGTTTCATCCTTTTGAACTCATGTATGTGAATTTACTCATTCAAAAAAATAATTTCTTTATGAGTGAGTTTTGGGGGTTTTTTTAAGAACAGTACCTGGTGCTCAATAAATATTGGTTATTTTTATACAGAAGGCTTGATACAGGCCCCCCACCTGACCTCGCACCATCTCTGTTCCCCCAGCTTCAAGTTGAAGCAAAGGCTTCACACCCAAGAGGCAGGTGGTGACCATGTGGCTCTAGATGCAGACCTGGGTCCCTGTGTCCCCCACATATTAGCTGTGTGGCCTTGGGCAAGTTGCTATGCCTCAGTTTCCTCAATCATAAAAGGAGACTAATGTTCTCTACCCCACTGGTTGTCACCAGGATTTAATGAAATAAGAGCTGAAACCAAGTGAGCTCTGGGCACGTGCCAGGCACACTTATACATATGGCTCATTGCGTCTGCAGGTGCCACTATCATCCCCACTTACAGATGAGGAATCGGAGGCTCTGGGGGGTGAAGTAAGTTGTCTACCATCACTCATCTGGTACCTGGTGAAGCTGAGATGTGCACCCAAGCAGTCTGGTTCCAGAGTCGGTGTCCCTGACTACTACACCTCCCTGCCTCTCCTGTGCCCGTCATGTATTTAGAACACCTAGCACATGGAAACTGCTCTCCCAATTATAACTGTGATTGTCGTCAATACATGCTGAGACCTTTCCCAGGCCACTTGGTAATACATTTTGGGGCAGGGCTATTTGACAACTCACAAACACCTTCTGGGGGCAGCACTGAGCCAAAGAACATGCCGTGCTCAAAGAGTGGGAGGGCTTCTTGCCTCAGTTGTCCCACGTCCACAAATTCCATAGCCAGTCCTCACAGTCCTGGCGCAATCAACTTGCTCCTCACCCTAGCTCCTCCTTGCTGGTTCTGGTGGCTTCAGACTCCACCCTATAGACACCCCCCAGGCAGCTTAGAGGAGAAGCCACAGCCCACCTGCTGAGGCATTTGCAGCAATGCAGGTACAAACGCTCCCACCCACCACCACCACAGCCAGACAGGTTTTAGGACAACCCACTGCGAGAGACAAGCTGTTCCTTCCGGTCAATAGTGCCAATGTGGGGCCTACCAACAGGGGGACTTGTCAGCCCCCCATCCCACCCCAGCCGCTTGTAACAGCCAACTTTGTGCTAATGAAGGCCAGGCAGGAGTTACCCCCACACATCAACTGGATTGTGCCTTGGCTTACACACACGCGCGCACACACACACACAAAGACAGAATCAACACCCAGCCTTACCCCACTGGAACCCAGTTGGGGGGGTGGATGAATTCAGGCCACCATGGATAATGTCCCAAACAGATAATCTGCTTATGAATAATTGAGCTTATTGTTAGTGTCAGTGTCTAAAGCCATTTGCTGAAATTCCAAATAGATTTCCCAGGGAGAGGAAGGGTCTTCTGGAAGAGCAGCTCACGCCTAATTTCCCATTCTCTGCTTTCTCTAGTGAAAGAGCACAAAGCAAGCCACATACCTTCTTTGGCTCTTTCTCTCGCCCCACCCCCTAGCTCCCAACACACATCACACCTGGAGACACAAGGGATCTTGAACCGGGAGATGCAGAAGGGGTTTCAGGAAGTTGAGACCCTCGCCCTGCCCCCATTTCCCAGCCTTAGGCGTGAACTACTCTGGACCACTTAGGTGATAAGAGCAGCTTTCATTTAAGGTTGCCGTCCAGCTAAGGCAAATCCAAATCTTCTGGAAATGTTCCCCCACTTACTTCATCCTCCTCAGGGAGGCCCTGCCTAGAAAATCATCAGACTTCATCTTCTCCTAGAGAAATGATTAAGCAGCCCCATTCCTGCCCAGCTAGGGGGCTCTGGACTTGAGAAGGTCCTGCTGCTAATGACAGAAGGCCCTGTGCCCACCACAGCTGAGGACACCCCAGTCCAGTCCTGTGGCCGGTTATGCCACAAAACTCTCCAGAGAGGAGGAGGGCTTAATGAGCCACAGGCAATGTCCCCGCCACAGCCTGAGCCAGACCCAGGAGATGCAGGAGGTCAGGGCGGGGCCAGCTGTTTGGTTGTGAGAGACAGACGGAGCCTCAGGCAGATGGAGGTGGTGGGGAGTAGGTAGGAAGGGAGGGGGCAACCTCTTCCTCATGGGAAGGGGAGTGGAGGGAAAGGAAACAGACTGCGGTCAGGGCTAGAAGCCTCTCTCCCCCACCTCAGCCACCCAGAGAGGCCTGGGGCCACCTCTGGCATTGAAGCAGACATTTAGCTGTACCTAGGGAACATCCGCCACAACAGAGACCCTACTCAGAACCCGGGACCCACCCAGAACTCCTTGTTGCACCGCGGGTCCCCTCAGGGCCTGTCTGACTTACTCCTCAGGATGCCTACAGTCTGTAAGGCCAGGCCAGGCCACATCTGCTAAGTCTCTTGTCCCCCAACAGTGCCGACCTCACACGATGGGTGTTCAGCAAATACCTGTCAGCTTATGAACTGTTCTTCGTGAGAAGATGATCATGGGTGAGCACATGCTCACAGCAGGGGGTGGGAGATGGGTATCTGGGAGCCTGGGCAGTCGATGTCCCCAAGAGCGAGGAAAGTGTGAGGGAGAGGGACTCGGGGCTCCGTTACCTGTATCCTGTCCTCTGGCAGCTCCGTTTTCATGGCCAGCATCTCCCGGGCATAGACGTCTGGGTAGTGGGCCTCGTTGAACGCCTTCTCCAGCTCTTCTAGCTGGTAGGAGGTGAAGATTGTCCTGAGGGGAGCAAAACCAGACACTCAGGACCCAGAAACTGAAAGAGCCCGTCCCAGAGAGGCCAGAATGGTCCTCCCCCATGCCTCCTGGACAGACCCCAAACCCAGGCTGGCTGAGCACAATCGGACACAAACTTCCCTCTTGCACACATACACACACACATTCACACGTTTACATACACACTCATAGCTAACCCTCTGGAATCTTCTTCATTCCAGGCTGAGGGCCCACACCACCCTTCTGGTCACTGTTTTAGCCCTCAGTGACATTTCATCCTGGGAATCTTTCTGGAAGTGCTTTTGGGCAAAAGACATTGAGATAGAAATTTTAGAAAACTGCAGAAAGCTCCTTTTCCTCCTCTCACACACAGTGAGGAGCTCGCCAGGTAAATAAGTGCCCCAGCCCCGCTGGACCTGCTTCCCAGCTCCTCTCACAGACAGGAGAGCTGATTTTTTAAATTGCACTCAAGGTTCCAAGACTCACCAGAAGGTCAAATGCAGCTGCAACCCCAGTGTTTGTACAGCTGAGAACTGAATCTCTCACCCACTCAACCCACCTGCTCAACCCACCCCAACACTCTGCCCTCCTCTCCTGCCCAGAACTACCAGCTCCTTAGAGCTGCCCTCAGAGTCCTGTGGGCCAGGAAGATGGGGGTGGGGGGGCACCCTATCCCTTCCCATGCTCAGAAGGCAAGAGTCACCTTCCAACCATCCCACACATGGGCTCAGCCACTCACCCAGTGGGGGTCCCATTCAGACGAGTTCCATTCAGGTCACCCTGAGAGAGCCTACCTACACAGCCCCCCACCCCCACAGAGCAGGTCACATTGATCTATTTTGGGTCATAAACTTCTTTAAGAATCTGGTAAAAATTACATCCTCTCACCCTAGGAAAATGTGCAAACGAACATGCTGCAACACACAGAATTTCACCTCCAATATTAGGGGGTTCATAGGCCCCCTTTCTTGAATAAACACACTGCACACCCACATATAGACACAAACTCTTCTCTTTTCAGACCTTAAGTTCACCAGGGTCTAGGTGACTTTATCCTGCACCTTCGTCAACAAGCCGATGGCAATAGAGACCAGATTCCACAAATCCAGCCTGCAAAAATGGTACATTCCTTGCTTGAGCCTCTGGGATTTGGACCCTGGGACCAGCACAGGGGTTAGAATCCCTCACTGATGCCCTGACCCTCACCCAACCCGAGGAAAAAGTACAAAGTTAAGCCCCCTACGTTCCCTGTGCTGGTGTCGGCTTTAATATCTTGGCGGATGATGCGAGGGATGTGTGAGGAAGAGAGATTCCGCTCTTTATAGAAAATGACTGGTTTGATTCTAAATCGTTTCTCCTATTCTCTTGGGGAGATGGAATGCTTATGTATACAGAAAGTTAATTCTTCAGAATTTTGAAGATTTGCTACTTTCTATTTCACTCCTGCCACTTACTGAAGGGCCCCCGAACAGATCATCAAAATAAACAATCAAAACATGCAAGTCCTTTTCAAAACTAGGGAAGCTGAGGCACACAGGTGTGGCCTGGCCAAAGCCAAAGAGGAGAGCCGGCGATGGGCCATTTTAGGACCACTCAAGCGCCCGCCTCCGCTTGGGAGAGCGCTCATTCGAAAAACGGAAACCAAACCAAACCTCAAATCCCCCAAACTCCCCCTCATTCTTGCCTCAGAGCCAATCCATATGTTGATGCTGACAAGTTCTCCAGGGAGCCTCCCTGCGCCCCCACAATGTGACCCAAACCCTGCTCCCGGCTTTATGCAGAGCCCCAGATCCTTCAGGTTCCCTTCCTCCCCTGTCTGCGGAGGAGCCGAGCTTTCTGGGGTAAAGAGAGGAGCAAAATCCGAGAGACTCTCATGGCTGCTGCTCCATCCCCACTCCCCTCTCCAACCGCTAATAAGCCCGGTGTGTTTCCGGGAGATGAAGAGATGCCCATCTCTCATCACCAGATTCCGAGGTCTCTGACCCGAAATCCCCAAATGAGAGAAGCTCAGAAAAACACATTTTTTACTAATTAAAAACTGCACCCGCAATCGGTAGCCATTCTCCTGTCTCCAATAATCTACTCCTTTCATGAAGCAGAAATAGCCAGAAACCTAGGGCAGGTGGCAGTGGCTGTCCTGTCTCCCTGGGAACCCTCCAAAGCTCCCAAAGATTTCCCTGGTAGAGAGGGTGTCAGGTGAGGATGGCGGGTCACAAACCTTAAGCATGGACTTTGCGCTGTGGGTCAGCCAACTCCAAGGGCCACACAAGGAGATGTCCTGATGCAGAAACTCTATTCCAGGACCCCGGGTTTGGAGATGCTTTCTCCAGGGCTCTCCTTGGTATGGGAGCCCCTGCCCCCATTCCCGTGCCAGCACAGAAGCAGTTCAGCCCTCCCTCCAGGGTCCTGGCCCCCGTCCCCGCTCTGGAAACTGACAGCATTACCCACCCTGGGAGCAGCACGAGATGGCTGCACAAGAGACGTTTTAATGAATATTTGTTGAATGAATGAATGTAGAAAAATGACCCAGGATCAGGACTAAAAACAATATTTCCGTCTAAAATAAAACTAAACAAAAATAAACAGCTGCCTGAAGGGAATGAACCGAGGTCATCGAGAAACTAAGTCAAAGTTCACCCTCGTTCGAGCCGGAACCTGTTGGGGCCTGACAGGTCAGGAAGAGCCATTTTAAAAGGTGAGGGTCAATAGTGGAGTTTCCGAGGGCTAAGGAAGAGGGAAACGCAGAAAAGCACCTAGAAAAAGGGTGCGCAGAGAAGCTGAGAACAAAGTGGGGAGAAGCAGATGAGGTGGGGCCAGGCTGGAGGCGAAGAGCTCCCCAGGAGCGAAGTGTCCCGAGAGCGCGCGGGGACACTGCGGGCGTCCCACCGGGACCGGGGCGGAGAGAGAGAGTTGGGAAAACAGACCTGGGTGAGCGCAGGGACGGCGCCTGGAAGCAGCACGCACAGAAAGTCCAGCAGATTTGTGGTTCTCGCTCCTCTATTTTCCTAAAAACCTCCTCGTAACGTTACACAAGGAGTAGCAGCGGTGCCGATGCCGAAGGCCGTGCGGGTCTAGGGTGTGGGAATTACTTTTCAGGGTCTACCTGTCGGCCCCTATTGAATTTTGACTTTGTGCAAGTAATGTCTATTTGAAGACATATTTTTAAAAACTCTCTACCCCTAAGCAGCCCACTCCACTCCAGCTAGGGCTGGCGGGGTCATCCAGTCCGCACACTCCCCCCTCCCCATTTTACAGACAAGGAAATTGAGGCTCCTGGAAGGAAAGAAACCCTCTCTTCCCTTTGATCCTTTCCAGGATCACAAAAGAGCAGAAACCTAACGAAAAATTTCCATCAATGCAGATAGCACGCGCAAGATTTTGGGAACGGTGGCAGCAGAAAGGTAGGGGGTTGCCAGAGCGGACAGGGACCGCGAGAGAGGAATGGGGGGCCCGGGGACAAAGGGCAGAGGAAACGGCTTGGGCCGGAGGTGGGAGCCGGTCTGTCCGCCCCGCGATGTGCGTGGCTCTCCGAACGTGCCGAAGCAGGGGTCGCATCTGGGGGCCGCCTGCCCCTCTCGGGCTCGGGTTTGGCCCTGGTTGGGGCCTTTCCTTTCTCCGGCAGAAGAAGAAAGCTCGAACGCTGCCGCTTCCGCGGCGGCAGCTCATCATCCTCATCCGGCGCGGCCGGACGCCAGGGCCCGGGCAGAGGTCCCCAAACAACGCCGGGTCTCCCGCCCTGGCGCAGCCTCGGACCTCAAATTAGCAGTCGGCGAAAATAGGGTCCGACCGACCCGACCCCCAAATGGGACGGCAGGTGGTGGGTGAGCAGGAGAGGTAACAGAAAGCGCCACAGGGGCCTTACCTGTGTCGTCGCTTCTTCCGTTTCTTGGTCTGGTTTAAAGCCGATTTGGACATTTTTCGGTCGCTGGAGGAAACATCTTCAGAATCTGAAAAGCGGGCGGAGGCACATGCGGCAGAATGGGGGACGCGCTCGGCAACGCCGGGGCGCGTCCGGCTCCTGAAACCCGCGAGGGCCCCACCCCAGGCCGCCTCCGGGAGCGGCGGGGCCTGCTCTGTCTCCCCGGGAAGCCCTTCGGGAAGTCGACCTCATCCCTAAGCCCCGGCTGGCTCTACCCAAGCTGGCGCCCGAATCCGCAGGTTTTGAAGAGATTTCGTTGTAAGAGAGGCAAAGGCCCTGACAGGCTTGGAGCAGGGACCGCAGGAGAGGAGGCAGCCTCGGGGGGGTCGCAGGGACCCCCGGCGGCGCTCTGGGCTCTGCGCCCTGCCCTGCGCTTGTAGCACCGGCGCCCGGGGCCGAAAGTTGTCCCCAAAGAACGGAACCGGGGCGCAGGGAGCTGGGCGCCAGCAAGGGCTGGGGGCTCCCGGCACAGCCCCCTTTTCAGTGCTTGCACGATGCGCCCCCGCTCGAGACTGGAGAGACTGCGACGCTCCACTTTTCGTTTCCCCTCCAAATAAAAATAAATAAAAAATGAAAACGATAACGAAAAATCGGGGGAATTGCCGAGCGCGAATAAGAGCCGGAGGGCCGAGCGGTTGGGGAGGCAGGGCGGGGAAAGCGGCCCGGGGCGGGCGCGGCGGGGTCGTCCAAGGGCCCCCGAGCCCGCGAGGCGCCAGGATCCGATATATGGTGGCGCTTAGGTGGGATCGTGACCGCTTCGGCCGCCGCGGTGGCTGGGTTGTCCAAGCTCGTGGAGTGAAAAACAAACCCCAGCTGACCAACGCGGGGGCGTTGGAATGGAGAAAAGAGGAAGGAAAAGACAACTTTGGACACCAGGGCTGGGGCCGAAGCCTGCACCCGCTTCCCGGGCCGCCGGCGCAGGGGCCGAATCCGGCTCCAGGAGCGCAGGTCTTCTGGGAGGCCGGGGCCGCAGTGAAGCAGCAGAGCTGGTGCCCCCACCGCGCCCCACGGGCTCCGACATCCTAAGCCCCGTTTCCAGTGGGGCCCCAACCGGGCACCGCGGCAGAGCCGGCCCGACGCGGGGATCGAAGAAGAGCGCGGCGGCCGGAAACGCTGGGGCCGAAACCCGGCGGGCGCGGAGAGCATCCTCCCAGCCCCAGCCCCTGGGGGGCCGGCCCCAGGCCCAGGCTGCGACCCCTCGGCCTGGCACGAACTTTTGCGCAGGGAAGAGGCCTGGCAGTGCAAGCGAGAGCAAACGGCATGGGGTTCCCTGCTCTCGCCCCCGGTCAGGCAGCCACGCAGCCTCGCCCTCACCTACCCGAGCTGGCCGTCTGGCTGGTGTCCAGCGGCCCCGACGCTCTGCTCAACGGCTGCAAGTGGACGCTCTGCGGGTCGGACAGCACTTCCAGGAAGGTGGGCTGCGTGTAGAAGCCGGGGAGGCCCCCGGGCCCCAACAGCCCCATGCTGCCCACTCCTGCGGGACTGAGCACTGAGCGCGCAGCCAGCAAGTGACCGGGGGCCAGGCCGTCGAGGGCAGCCCGCGGGTGGGAGCTGGGGGGCTCCTTGTTCAAGCCCAGGATCTCCTGGATGCCAAACCCGGTGCACCTGGCCGGTGCGCCCCCCGAGGTACTCTTGGCCACTGTCTCGGGTTTGGGCTTGCTCAGCGCTTCCCCGGCTTTCCCCGTCATCTCTCTGCTCTTTGGAGGGGCCGAGGCCGCAGGTCTTTTGCTCCCCCCACCCCCCCGCCGGGCTCCCCACTTCGTGAAGTTGGTCCCAGGTGCCCCCTCCGGTGTCTAATGCTCTGGAGCCCCAAGGAGATTCCCCTTTTATCCAACCAGGCGGCAGCCCAAGTGGGGTCAGAGCTGAGCAGCCAATCACCGGGGCCAGGAGCGATTAGGAATTCCAAAAAGCTGGCAGCTCCCGCCGCAGGCAGCACTGAGGGGCCAGGGTGCTGGGAGCCAGCACTCGGTGGGCTCTGCAGGATACCCACGGGCAAGGACCCTAGAGGCTGAGATGAGACAACAAGGTTCAGGGCTGTTCCAAGAGGCAGGGTGGTCTGGGATTCTGGGCAGAGCATAACTGGGACATGTCCCTGGGGTGGGGGGGGGAGGATGGGCTGAGGGCAGATGCTAGAGACCCGGAGTCCCCCTCCCTCCCTCAACTCCTATGCAGGTTGGCAGGGGCAAAGGAGCCCGAATATGGGACCCCTGTGTAAAAGGCAGAACAAGAGAGGGGCAAGCGCCCTGGGCAGGCTGTGTGGTGGCAAAGGGGAGACAAGAAGGGGCCAGGATGTGAAGAGGGAGGTGTGGGGGAGGGGGAAGACTCAAGGCTTGTCCCCCAGCATAGGACATAGTGCCTAGTTCAGAAGAGCTACTCAATAAATATTGACCAGATGAATGAATGAATGATAAAGGGGTCAGGAGTAGGGGTCCCTGGTGGCAAAGAAGAGCAGTGGTGACTTCTTTTGGAGAACAACCATGGAGCATCTGAACATCTTCCTAGAGTAAGCATGAAGTGTGCCCAATTTCCATGGAAGGATTCCATTTATTATTATTATTATTTTTTTTGCTGAGGAAGATTCACCCTGAGCTAACATCCGTAGCCGGTCCTCCTCTTTTTGCTTGAGGAAGATTGGCCCTGAGCTGACATCTGTTGCAAATCTTCCTCTATTTTGTATGTGGGCCACCACTACAGCATGGCCACCAGCCAGCAGTGTAGGTCCATGCCCGGGAACCAAATCCAGTCCACCAAAGCAGAGCACACCAAACTTAACCACCAGGCCACGGGTGCTGGCACCCATTTATTATTCAATCCATTCATTCAACTAATATACGTCGAGCACCTTCCAGCTCTGAGCTGGAAGCTAGGGGTTCCTCAGTAAGTCAGATAGACAAGGCAAGGAGTCTGCTCTACCTCAGAGTTCACTGAGCAAGCAGAATGAAGAGAATGGGATTGTTGCGGAGGGAGGCTGGCGTGTGAGGTGACTAAAAGGTGAGCTTCTTTCCCCAGTTGATGGGGGTCCCTTGAGTGACTCCTGTGTTGGAAGCTGCAGAACTGCAGCCAACTGGGCCACTGGAAAAGTGATGAGAGGCAGCAGGAAACCTCTTTAGGCAGGGCAGGACCCTGACCTGAAGAGAAGAGCCCAAATTCCAAAGGTGGGCAGTGGACCTACTGGCTGCCTGCTTGAGAGCTCTGCAGGGAGGAAGGCTCCCTTGGGCCCCAGTGTCAAGTGAAGGTGATTCTTCACATGCACACACACGCGCGCGCACACATGCACACACACCATGGACCCCTGAGTCCCTGCACTGCACCACCTCAGCTAACTCTTCTGTGACCTTCTTGGGGCTGGGATAGTCTTATCCACCTTGGCACTCCCCTCTCCACTGTGCCTAGTATACAGTAGGTTTTTAATACATGTTTCTTGACTTGAAGTCACCCTATGAAGGGAGATAATGACAGGGTCAGTTGCTTTAGGAAGAGACCATTCAGGATTTCTTGGCCAGTCAGCTGCAAACCCCCAAATAGATTGAAACCCCCTAACTAACCGCAGCCCACTGCCAAGGTCTAGTACCCTCTGTGGTCACCATGAGTACTCTCTGTGGCCAAACTGAGAGGTAACAGGAAACCCAATAGGATATGGGAATTGAGGCCTTGCTAACAGGGCTGTTGTGAGGTGGGTGTCCCTCACTCTGGCCTGATCCACGCAAAAGCCAGAATTAGGCAGGGGCATCTCACAGTGCAGGAGGTGTCTGGGAGAGGGGTACTGTTCACTCCAAGGGCTTCCTCCTTATCCCATAATAATGCCAGGCCTACTATGCACCTACAGTGCCCCAGCCCCTTTACATGGCATAATCTCTGGTCCTCATAAGAACCCTGTTAGCACCTTGGTTCCACATCTGAAAGTTGACATAGCTATTCTTACTTGCAAGGTGCAGACTCAGGGATATGCAATCTCGAGGTATCCTTCACCTTGTATTCTATGGAATTGGGTTTCACGTGGCGCCACTCACATAGACAAAAATGTGAATGGTGCCCCCTGGAGTTGTGCAAAGTATGGGCTTTGCCTTCCAGGTAAGAATTTCTATCCCCATTTCGTGAATATGGAAACTTAGGTCCTGGAGAGGTTAGATAACTTGTCCCAAGCTACCTAGCTAGTCAGCAACAGAGGCCAGACTCAACTTCAAAGGAGTCTAGTGTCAAAGGCTGTTCTCTGTTGACTCCATCCTTGTCTCGGCCTCCTCTCCATGCCAGCTTACCCTACAAGGATGAATGGGGATGTTATGTTAATGGCATCTGTCATGTCCCTGACATATCACGGGACATCCATGATGAGCCAGATGCCAGCTGATAGGCAAGGACATGAGTGATGGAAAACAAGCATGTGAGTGATGGAAGCTCAGCTCTTGCCAGGAGATGAGAATGAAAAATCTCTTGACCAAATCCAGTGTCTGAGGCTGCCAATTCTCTCTCCAATTGGGAGATAGTCACCATCCTGCCCTAAGAGGTTGGGGATGGGAGCAGCTCCAGGCCCTCTGAGAGGCACCTTTGCCAGCGGCTACAGGTGGAGGGAGGACCCAGCATCAGCCCACAGCCAGTCCCACCCTCGGAACTGGACTGCTGACAGACTCCTGGCCAGGGGGCTGTCTCTGAGCTTTGGGGTGTTGTTATTACTGCTCCACAGCTGCCCAACTTAGTCCAGACCCAGACTCAAGACATCTGTGGACCCTGGGGGGAGCCCTACAGGGAAAGGCTGGCCCCAGAGCTTGGACTAGGGGTGGGGGGAGTGAAGTGTACCCTTTCAGAGGCATTTAGCTTGGTCACACTGGATCCAAATCTTGAGTCTGCTGCCTAACAGCTCTGTGGCTTTGAGCCAATCATTTGTCTTTTCTCTTAGCTTCAGTTGCTTTACCTATAAAACAGCCTGATACTGGATTTTTGAGCATCCCCTGACTCCCTGAGTTAGCGTAGGGGTCAAGGGCATGGACTCTAGAGCCAGACTGCCTGGGTGCAGACTCCTGCTCTATCCCTTGCTTGGTGACCTCGGGAAAGTTACCCAACTTCTCTCTGCCTTCTGTGCCTCAGTTTCCTCACCCATAAAATGGGGATAATTGTAGTGCCTACGCCTTGGAATTGTCATGAAAATTAGAAATGTACAGTGCTGAAAAAAGTGAATAAGGCTATACCGTGAGTGTACAAAAAAGGCTACAAAATCAGGTTCCTGTGAGCATTGGTTATTGTCATCATCATGCAGGAGGACACTATACTTGGGACTGGCAATATGGTAGGGAACAAGACAGATCTAGTCCCAGCCTTCATGGGGTTTAGGCCAGTGACTGAAGGAGGTGATGTCTGTGAAGCAGTTAGCAGGGTGCCTGGCTCTGGGGACTGAATACATCATGGATCTTACTACTATTATTAATGGGTGCCAGACCCCTTATCGCATTTAATCCACTCAAGTTGTCAGAGGGGTCAGGAGTTCTGTCCCCCTTGTCAGGGAGCGAGATTAGGGACGAGGGAGAATGCCATCTCCCTCCTTTGCCTTGGTGCTGGTCATTTTTAGCACCAGCTACAGCCAAGCCATTCTCCCCTGCTAGCTGCCTCCCAGAGTCCCTACCCAGCTATCAGCAACAATTTTTGGAGGGAGGGGGGTGAAAACTGCAAGGAAGAGAAAGGATCTGTGTTTGAATCAATAATCCCATTATGAATCTGTCACCCATGAATCTGTTTCACTTTTTTTAATGCTCTTGTGTATTTTGGGCTTGCCCCTTAAGGGCAAACCTTATCTTTTGCTGTGCTGGACGGTTCTCCTGAGACAGTCTCTGGAGAGGGTCCCAAACGCCCTGCTTTCTCATCCTCTTGTCTTCAGACTTTGGACCAGATACTCCGTTCCCTGCGTTCAGTAAAGGGGCTGATGCTAAGAGAAAAACAAGGGGGGTTTTGATTCACATTTAACTTATACACAGTGAACATTTATTAAGTTCTGGACTTTTTGGCATTGTCTCAATGAATCCTCCCAACTACCCTGAAAGATGTACATCATTTTTCAAATGAGGAAGCAACCTCAGAGGCCAGGTGACCTCCCCAGGAACAGCAGCTGCCAAGGGCCAAGAGGAGTCCAAATCCACTGCCTTCTTCTTTTCTTAAAGATGGACTCAATACCACAAGCAAAGGAAGGGACCTAGGATATAGGAAGGCAAACGATGCCCCACTGTGCTTGAGCTACCATCCTGCCCCACCGAGAATGGGGTAGATGAAAGGAAGAGGCACCAAGAAGGGGTTGAGAAGGGCTACTGAGGGCAAGGCTGGTGAGTCCTCAGAACCCAGGGCTGCTAAGAGCATCTTACCCTAAACACCTGGACCTGTTTCCTTCTCCTAGTTCTCCAAGGAATAATCTTTACCCTTTGGACTTTTCTTGCAGAGTTCCCACGAGTGGGAAGGAAGGAAAAGACTCTTGGCAATGCCTTCAAGCCAGACTTGCAGAAGGCCCTGTCTCCCATCAGTCACCATCCAGGTGCCACCTGTAGCTCCCCCGAGGATCTCATCCCAGCAGAACACCACCCATCCGCCAAGTAGCTTTCAGCTACCCACAACCCCCTGTACCCTCCTTCCCTCATTAACCCTTCCTTAGCCTCTCAAGGGAAAAGAAAAACATCCCACACATGTTGTCCTCATCCCTTGCCCCATGTTCACCCATGGGCAGCACGGAACAATGGAGAAAGCAAGCCTTAGAGGACTTGCTCCATTACCAGCCTGCCACA